AACTATATGATCATTGCTAAATACATTGATGCATGTTGTTGATTGGAAGGCAACTATATGATCTTTGTTAAGAACTATATGATCATTGTTAAATACATTGAAGCATGTTGTTGATTGGAAGGCAACTATATGATCATTGTTAAATACATTGATGCATGTTGTTGATAGGAAGGCAACTATATGATCATTGTTAAATAAATTGATGCATGTTGATAATTGTAAGGCAACTATATGATCTTTGTTAAAAACTATATGATCATTGTTAAATACATTGATGCATGTTGTTGATTGGAAAGCAACTATATGATCATTGTTAAATACATTGATTCATGTTGTTGATTGGAAGGCAACTAAATGATCATTGTTAAATACATTGATGCATGTTGTTGATTGGGAGGCAAATATATATTCATTGTTAAATACATTGATTCATGTTGTTGATTGGAAGGCAACTAAATGATCATTGTTAAATACATTGATGCATGTTGTTGATTGGGAGGCAACTATAGATCATTGTTAAATACATTGATGTATATTGTTGACTGGAAGGCAACTATATGATCATTGTTAAATATATTGATGCATATTGTTGATTGGAAGGCAACTATGTGATCATTATTAAATAAATTAATGAATGTTGTTGACTGGAAGGGAATTATATGATCTTTGTCAAAAACTTTATGATCATTGTTAAATACATTGATGCATGTTGTTGATTGGAAGGCAACTATATGATCATTGTTAAACATATTGATGCATATTGTTGATTGGAAGGCAACTATGTGATCATTATTAAATAAATTCATGCATGTTGTTGATTGGAAGGCAACTATATGATCTTTGTTAAAAACCATATGATCATTGTTAAATACATGGATGCATGTTGTTGATTGGAAGGAACTTAAATGATCATTGTTAAATACATTGATGCATGTTGTTGATTGAAAGGCAACTATGTGATCATTGTTATATACCTTGATGCATGTTGTTGATTTGAAGGCAACTATATGATCATTGTTAAATACATTGATGAGTGTTGATTGGAAGGCAACTATATGATCATTGCTAAATACATTGATGCATGTTGTTGATTGGAAGGCAACTATATGATCATTGTTAAATACATTGATGCATGTTGTTGATTGGAAGGCAACTATATGATCATTGTTAAATATATTGATGCATGTTGTTGATGGGAAAGCAACTATATGATCTTTGTTAAATATATTGATGCATATTGTTTACTGGAAGGCAACTATATGATCATTGTTAAATACATTGATTCATGTTGTTGATTGGAAGGCAACTATATGATCACTGTTAAATACATTGATGCATGTTGTTCATTGGAAGGCAACTATATGATCATTGTTAAATACATTGATGCATGTGGTTGATGGGAAAGCAACTATATGATCATTGTTAAATATATTGATGCATATTGTTTACTGGAAGGCAACTATATGATCATTGTTAAATACATTGATTCATGTTGTTGATTGGAAGGCAACTATATGATCATTGTTAAATAAATTGATGCATGTTGTTGATTGGAAGGCAACTATATGATCATTGTTAAATAAATTGATGCATGTTGTTGATTGGAAGGCAACTATATGATCATTGTTAAATACATTGATGAAATAATGGTTAGCAAATCCCTTAGTTTTAATAAATAATTAGTTTTCATTAATTCTCTTCCTCACAAAGAACATAACTATTTCCAAAATATTTTCTTCCTATTCCTTTTTCAGTCTACCAATTTTGCATTTTAAACTCTTTTGACTCTACAGATCGATGTATGCAAGCTGACTTTTGTAGAGTTTGTAAATTCCTGAAAATGCTATTGTAGCCCTTTGTCCAGTGCAGGCTCTTTTACTGACAGTCATGTTCAGTTTGTAAGTTTCGTATTATACTCTTTTATACTCTGTAATCCAACGGAGTGCATATATCGTCACTTTAGTTTTTATATATAGTGCATTCTTCATTTACATAACATCGCCAGATTTTATTTTGTTTTTGACTCGTCATTTCCAGTATATACTCATTGTCAAGGTCAAATATTTTTTGTCCCAAAGTGATAATACAAATATTTACTATTTATAAAGGAAGTTTGAAGAAATTGGCAGTTATCTTTTACTTAATTCATATGACCATTTCTTCTCAGTAGAAATGTACATAAAGAATGTAATCCTTGATTAAATTAAAACAGTTCTGTTATTGGTTGTTTAATATATCAATTCATGGGCTTACCTAGATCTATCTGGCTCTCACGTTCTCTCTCTCTTATTTATAAATCTATCTAAGACCCTTTTCTGCTAATCCATACCTCTGTCAACATAAAAGGATATAACTTTATTTGTGCTACCAACTTTATCTGCATTTAGTTGTTTATCTACATATTTATCAACATGTATTTTTTTTAACTATATTATTATATAAACTTAATTCAGGATATTATTTTCAGCTGAATAACATGTTTATAAAAACCAGACATTAAAATAATATAACATGATTTCCTTTAATATCACATACAATTATTCATCTTTTTTTCTACAACTGCTTCAACACTAGCTAAATTGCAGAGAGCATGGAAGGTCTCTATGATAATACTCTTCATATCCTTGCTGTTGAACCTGCTCTCTACTTAGGGAAACTGAGAGTGACGATCAGCATCCATATTCCTTGATCTGGGTTTGTCAATGATGTTAATGGTGTAAGGTGCTGGAGGTTCTAACCATCAATGGTCAGTTAACCCTCTGCTGGCAAAGATGGTTAATAACTTGACAGTCTTGAATCTGATACTAAGGCCATGTTAGCAGTATAGTGGGATAGTATACGGACAATGGTAATTAGCATTAAGGGACCCCACTATTGAATATAAGAACAAGATTTATACAAATAAATGGCACAACTTGGGATAGTATACGGACAATGGGAATTTTGTTTTAGCACACTCTCGGCCTGTATAGCGACAAGAGGAATGGTACAGGTGGCATAACGTCACGGTACTGGACATTGGCAACACAGTAGCAAGAGCTGACCTAAATACACGCAGCTACTACCACTCTAGGGAGGGACACATACAATAGAGACATAGAACACATAGATATAGATATGGCAAAATGTTAAAATCATTATTGTTTCGAGGCATTGGAAGTGGCCCTGAAAAAGGCCTTAGTTGGCTATGTTAACACCAATTTGTTAACATACAGGGCATCTCACTAATCATTACAAATCATAATCAAATCACAACTATCTCTAGACAATGATAACAGGTGTCTCGACTTTTATCTCTTTTGACAATTATTTTTTGATGGTATAGACATTTTGTAGCCCAAAGCCCTTTATTATTTTTACAGATATAGCAAGTATCTTGACTTATCTCGAAAATAGGAAAAATAGTCTGTCGGATTGTCTGAAGAAAACGTATGGCACCTAACAGAGCTCTAATCAGAAGTTCGATCTGTTAGGTTCTTCCATTGTACTGGTCACATTGAGAGTAAAATGAATACTTGGAAGACACAAGCCTCTATATATAAACTAGTCTCACATGGATATAAAGACTACCATGTCGTTTCTCATATACTCATTTGACTTTTTGCAATGAAAATGAAACGATCCCTTCATTTTGTAAAAAAGGAGAAAAAAGTAAGAAGCAGAAACGTGATTTGTTGCCTCACATAGTAGCTGAAGTCTTTGCTCAAATTCATATTAGCGATTTTGAAGATGACATGAGTGAACCAAAATCTAAACCCAGGGAATCGACAGCAAACCAAAGTTCATTACCATCAGTAAACACTAAAATCTATTACCACATTTGAGAGATGGACAAACGCTTCTCTAGAAAATTTAGAACTACGGCCTACACGTACGCAGTGAAGTTTAAAGATATCAAGTCCAATGTACCACTGGTGAAAGCAGAAAGGTTCATCAATGATGTGTGGGATTCTTTGTTAAACAATCTGAAATGGAATGTCAAGCCAAAGAAGACGATCGCTTGAGACTTTGCATTCATCACGACAATTTGAAGTAGCCCGTTTGAATCGAATTGTCAGCAGAACGACACCTTCCAAAATTGACAACAGAATTGACACCTTCCAAAGTCATGGACAAGATTCAGCACATGCAACAATCCAATGACAAGCTTCACATCACCGACGGAAAAGCGACAATGTTCATGACCCATGTGTCTCTTTCCCAATGGACATAACATGGCAAAAAGGTGTTCTTGGTCGACGAACTTCTCAACATCAAGTGTAGCCTTGTCCAAATAAAAAAAGCAACAAGACAAGATGTGTTTAGCCCGTGCCATTGTGATGGGACGAATATATGCCGACAAGAACGACACGGCAGAATGGAAAAGAGCCTGGCAAGCTATTCAAAAACCTAGCCGAGACAAACAACGAAAAGAAGCAGAAATCCTGCTGCAATAGGCTGGTTTGTCCAAAGACACACTTTGAAGCTTTCCTGAAATGCAAAAATTGCAAGATGCCTTTGCTTCACGCTACATCTTGAAAGTACACCCTCAAGAAGTGCGCGGACCACTGTTATTTGGAAGCAAAAATTTCAAAGACGGAAAATACATTCACGTCTCTCAAGTATCATCACGATGAACATTTTGATGATGCCATTACCAGTATCATGCATTCCTGCCATACGGTTATTACTGAGAGAAATGTGACTATGGCTATAACAATTGACAGCAACATAAGAAATGCGGATAAAAAATGGTCAGGATGTTTAGCCTCTAAACCCTGCCTTGACGAAGGACAAGAACGAGTGCATTGCTCTTCTTGTCAGCGCACGTTTGTCAGTCCAACTTGTTACCAACAATATTTGAAAACGCAAGGATCACAGCAAAAATGTGCTTGTCAGCTCCTGAGATTGTGCCCTACTTGTGGACAAGGCACACTACCAACAAAGCGCGCGTATGTTTAGGAAAGAGACGTCACATTTGTCCTCCAATCGTGGACTTGGAACACCAATGTTACAGCACCGCCCAGGTTGCCTAGTGGTTAGAGCGTCCGTCTCGGATGCGAGAGATTGTGGGTTCGATCCCCGGCTGAGTCATAACAAAGACTTTAAAAAATGGTACTAGCAGCTGCCTCGCTTGCCTGTCAAAACTTGAAAACAGTCTTAAGACTGGTCGGCCTGGTGTCAGGATAATGTGACTGGGTGGAACATCATGTCACATGTCTGCGGCATATTGACCCAGTGCTAGACATCACTATACACTGTCACACTGCAGACATCGTAGCGATATGACTGAAGAAATTGTTAAAAGCTACGCTTTAAATCTAAATCACACACACAGGTACACACCAATGTTACATTAAAAATACCATTTTAAACATAAAGAAAAAGATGACCAGAAGAAGACAATTTCATCTTTTTCTATTTCGAATGCATGCAAGAAACAGGCTTCCACATTCCTAATTTCTGCATGGCTCACTGAGCGTGCGAAAAATGCATACAAGGGCTTATCTTTGCTCATTGCTCTCACTGTAGCAAGATTCCTGGAGGACGTGAAAAATTATTTTGCTGGCTTAACACATTGATCGATTTTGCCAAATGGATCATATATCCTACCGATGAGACGTGGAGCCAAGAAGACTTCGAACGTTACGGAGATTGTTATCACTATGCCACGGTGATGGCTCATAATTTCTCTGTATACGATGGACAGTTTCTGATGAGATGATATATGGAACAAAGTACCGAACTTCCTAAAGTGACATTGAACGGTACCAAAGTCATTTACATGCAAGTGGGTCAAGTGCAGTTTAAAGATTCGATGAATTACCTGGGGATGCCTTCGAGTCGTTTGCCTAAAACGTTTGCTATAACAGAAATGTCCAAAGGCTATTTTCCACTTTTAATTCCGAAGCCAATCAACGCGCCATTTTACCCCATTTGCCTGAGACTCACTACTACAACCCCGACAATATGCGTGCCAAACAGCGATACAATTCAAACAATGATAACAAAAACAAACCAACCCACAAGATTTCGTTAACTCCGCGTCCGCAACAGCGAAATGTGCTCGGTTAACGGATCTGGACGTTATTGACCCAGTATTTTCAGTCTTTGTAGGAACCTTTGGTTTTCATAAATAAGGTCTCAGGAAAAATGGTCTGTTCACCCTCTCTGCTACTGTACCAGTAACAATTAAAAAACAATACTTTTCTTTAATTTATTTCCAGGGTGGGAATCATTGAATTTTAGTTAGGGTTATGCTAGAATATGTGATTAAAGCATGTAATGTTTTATGTTGTTCGCTAAGAGGGGATCATGTTACACCATCCGAGACTTTGGTTTGCTTATTAGTTGAGCTTATAATCCATGTTAATTTAGTGAAATAGCCAGAAGTTACAAATGGTGCTGATCATCCAGTGAACTACTTTTTAAGGAACTAAATGAGCACCAAAGAAACTACTCATCAATTTAGCAGGAAATATTTGTCTTTGATATTGGCTTTATTGCATTTTTAAGTTTACTTTAGTTCATCTTATTCTCAATATTGTTGTGTATAATGATCACAACCCCCTACTTTCATCGAAAAGATGAAAAACAAAAGCCAAAGATCATTAAGGAGTATATGTTGTTACATTAATTATTACATTGTTACATTGTTGTTACATTAATTGTTACATTGTTACATTGTTGTTACATTAATTGTTATTATTAATATCGGCCACATCAGTGAAAGGAAAATTTAATAGAAGATACACTTTCCTATGTATAGAAATATTATCTCATGTACACTGTTACGTATAGGCTTGTTCAAAGTAACATAAAGAAAGAGCGAAGACAACAAGCTTTGTAAATTTTAACAAAAATAATTTATTTTCCTAGAAACCATGAATTAAAAAAATGAAAATATGTTAAACAAAACTTACGGTTTACAGAAACGATCCAAATTGTCTGTTCTAAAGATAAACACAAGTCCTGTAAAAGACTTTTAAACACTGTCTAAAGTTCAGTTCCGATCCAAAAATGGCGGATGATGACGTCAGACGAAGGCTAACAGACAAATCCAGAATTTACACAGTAAAGCAGTTTGTATTGTTCCGTTCCAAGTTAGAATATTTTCCGAAAGTGTCTTTGTCCAAATCAGTAATGTTGTTCTCCAGAAAAACAATTATTCAGAAAAACGAAGTAAAATTAGCTTCTCTAACAAAATATGTTGTTCTGCGTAGACATACGAACAGACATATTCTTCTAGCACAAAAATACCTTTTTCAAGGTAATAAAAGTCTAATATGTTACAATAAACTCCAACTCTGACTTTACAACTCTACAACTGAGTATGACTCTGAACGTATTACAAAATACCCCAGCATATAAATGAAGCTAATACGTTGGTTAAATTACACACGCACGGAGGATGCATACCAGTTTCGCAATATTTATGGACATTAGGAAAGCCTGACCAAGTATCAGCCAATCGTTTTTATAGCTATTATTGAATGTTTACTTGTAATAAATTTGCCATCATATACAGCACGTGCTCATATGAGTCCCATTTGTGACTCAAGTAAACACTGTTTTTCAACAACATATTAGACTGATATTAATATAAACATATTAATGGCCACATTTAATGAAATAAAATTAAAATAAAAAGATTTATACAGAATTTATTCCTTAACACACACATACTTACACTACAGGCTCGTAACAAAACTTTGTCAAATTCATAAGAGTACATATGTAATTTTGTTTTTCTTCGCAGAATTAATCTATGTTAAAAAAAAACTTTTTATGTAAATCTTTCTTTTCCTTTTTCTTTATGGTGAATATGTTTTGAATATCTAATTTAAGTACTTGTATGTTCGTTCAATATTTTTTAAATTTTATTATATTGCATGTTATTGTGGTTACAAATTTGTCTACTGGATTTGATTTTTCTTTAAGAAAATCAATTCAGTTCTATTTGCCTGAAATATAGGCTGTAGTTGAAACATTGTATCTTTTAGATACCTAGATTCACTACAAGTGAAAGCTCGAAGGGCAACAACTTTTCCTTTTGTTCGTTTCTAGCGTGGGAATCATTTAATTTTCGTTAATGCTTTACTTGAGCATGTTATTTAAGACACGCTATTTATCGAAATTTATTCAGGCATTCAAGACTGAAATTAATTTTTGTGATTAAGCAAGCAACTGTTGACATGTCAACACTTTGAAAGTTGCAACATATGTCATCGCCTTCAATATTAGAATGTCATCGGAATTCGAATTTGATTCACTTAGAAATTTTATTTAATAGTACATATATTTTTCAATTCTTGAATTTATTTCTATTTTGTTTATAAACCGTAAATAAGTTTCTTATTTTTACTTTGTGTTCATAGGGAAACAAATTATTTGTTATAGTTTAGAAAGGTTGTTGCTTTCACTCTTTTCGTGTTACTTTTCAACAAACCTAGTCAAGCAACAGGTATTCCACAATACAATGGCGGCCACGGTTAAAAAGTATTATCTCGATATTAGGTATCAGTACGATTGATTAACAAATAATGCCTCCCTGTTCTGCCTTCCATAATTTATAAAAGTCGCTGCTTATTGATAGTAAATTCCTAATCTTTCCACATGTTTCTATTTTAATAGTGCATTTTACTAGAAAAGCTACACAAAAGGATAAACCTTCATAGATCTGATTGGATGACAAAAAAAGCTGTACAGAAGCCCGGTCGCGGAACACTTCTTCTCCCCTGGCCACACTTTCAGTGATATAATACTTATCGCTATTGCTAACAACCACAGCTGGAGTTCCGAAACCAGGAAGGAAAAGGAATCATACTGGATACGCCGCCTTAGAACATTGAAACCAAGCGGTCTAAACCAAGAAGACTAGAAAATGAAAACTATGCACTAGTAAAATTTAAAATTTTCTAAATCTTCTTATTATCCTTCAATTTTTACTATAAGAATAACCGGTATAGAATCAAATATCCCGGACATAATATGCGTTACATATGTACAAAAAGTAAAAATAGATGTCGCTTTGGCTTGTAGACTTAGGGAATTATACAACATTTTCAGTTTCCGCATCTAGTCTATACAAGCTGGTTGCATTTATAGTTTTAGCACATGTGAAGGCAGCCATGTAGAGGTTTACAAACACAACGTTTTTGTGTTTATTTGTTTATCGTATATATGTTTTGAATTTGCCTTTGAAAAAGACTCATTAAGAGTCGAAAGCGCTTAGGCTAGTTAGTTACTAGTTTCGTACTGTTCGTCGTCAGTTTATAGCATCTATTTTAATTAATCCCTGACACACGTGATTCCTTGGTGGATCCAGTACGCTTGAAAGGGTTGTTATTCGCCATATGATTTGTACTCTTTATATATATATATATATATATATATATATATATATATATATATATATATATATATATATATATATATATATATATATATATATATATATATATATATATTTGTGTACGAGTATTCAAACATTATATAATACACATTATATAATACGGTATATAAGTTTTGTCACATACTGTGTCCTTTGTATATTATTGTTCAATATTTATATGAACATTTTTCACTCATAAGGTATTATTTATGTTCAGGCATCATTTATGCATGCAATAGTTCCTTGTTTATATACAGCATGCACAATGTGCATACCATTAGACCATTTTCTCACGACCCAAATACCTATTGTAATAAAAGATTTGATGCATGTCCTTCTTGTAGAGCTTTCCTAACTGCTCATTGCTTTGATCTTGGTATCAATGCAAAGACACATGACACCAAGAAATCAATAGATTTGTTACAATATGATTTTCTTTCTTATTCCGTAATTAGAATGTGTCTGAGTTGTTTGTTGTTTTTTTTTCACAGACAGTGAAATTTCTTTTTACAACCAGACGGGGAATGGATTTCTGCGAAAATATGCAGTGGAACTTTAAATGCACCGACGATATCACTAGATCAGAACTGTCAGAATGCGGTGGAGATAGGATGCCTGTACCAAACGGTGGGAAAAAAAACTAAAATTGAATTTACTGCAATCAGATCAGCCACTTTTAATAATCATATTCCATATCTTG